AGGCGAGATAAAAAGTTTTAAAATACTAATTTGTATAGTGTAAATACTTCATCAGCTTTTGTACAATTCAGTTTTTGAGAAGCCGATGTGTGAGGGATGTGATCCAGTCAATAAAAATGTTTGTGTCATTGACTGGTTGATGACTGTATCTATACGACGGCAATAAAGTATTTCAGGTGCAATCAACCTTGTTCAAGGTGTGTCACCTTAATTCTCCAGTCAGCGTTAATAAATGATGCTCCTGCAGGTACAGCTTTTATGGCTCAACGTGTTTCCACTAGGTGTTGATGGCGACCTGCAGTTAAAAGAAAGCAGCAAAGGAGAACTTCAAAAAGTGCCGGTCGTCAACATCCCATCCATTTGCACATTTACTCGATCACCTCGAGGATGGGTCTTGGTTATCGTAGTGTCATCCATACCCTCGGGTTTACTGGCCATGTTCCCGCTCATTGCCAAATTAATATTGCGGGTTGAATACACAGGTCATGGCGTAAAATTGCACGCAGGCGTTTATTCGGCAGAAGCCCTGTAAATAGATATAGTGGATGATTGCAGTTGCTTACCGCACGAAAGAGATGGCCTGGGTCGCGCTAGATTTTGAGTCTGAAATTCAAAGCTCGATAAAAATGGTCGACGGCAATTTTTAGCTCAGGGCATGATTCTCACCTATGGCCTCAAGGCTCCTCAAGGCAGACTTCGATATCGGAGTGCGCAAGGAACGATCTGTGGATCTCACAGGGTAGCCGCAAGGTAAATAAGCATCCAATCCCTGCCCAGACCGGGCGGCGTGTGAGTGGCGACGCGAAGGACAGGATTTTTTACCAATGAGGGGCTCGCTGGAGGTGATGACGAGCATCTAATTAGTGATCGCAGAAATAGTGGGCCGTCATCGTGCCCGGTATGCTACCTGCGCAGACGAGTCACGACAAAGATTCTGAGCCTTCGAGAAATTTGAAATTTGGTTATGAAACCCAGGCCAGGCACCACATTAGAAACACGGCGCGAAGATTGGGCCGCCAATACCGAGGTCGAGACAACATGCGACCTAAGATAAAGAGTCATAACCCATGATCAATGAAACTGTGGCCCTTGGCACATCACGTATATGTGAGAATGTCTTGCAAAGAGAGACCCGATGTAACTGGCCAGAATACGGGGATTTCGATCGCTGTGCACCAAGAAAAACAGAGTCGAAATGTCTGGTCGATTGTCTGACATGCGGCCCTATGTCGTAAGGCACACCAAACCTCCAGAAAGCCATGCACGTAACTCGCAAATTCATTAGGAATGCATGGCAGGGTGCGCCGTAAAGCAATTGGGTTCGTCGAGCGTCTAAAAGCCTCCTTAACCAATCGGAATACGGTGCCAAGTTGGTAGAAGTACACTGAAGGTTGACATCTTTGGTTTCTCGCCCCCAATCAGATCGGTGATTGTGTTGTGATTTTGGGAGGCTGTTGGATGTAACTGGGCCAGGATTGCAAGCATTTCGTTTCCCGATAAGTACCCGAGAAAAAAAAAGAGTCTAGAAGCCAGGTATGTCTCAATGAGATGAAGCGTTTGTCGCAAACATACGAAAATTCATAAGAATGAAATGAGACCAGCCTGAAGCAGGTTTATCTGGATTGCAGGGCCAGAGGTCTCCAATAGCCTCCTTGACCAACCGGAGCTAGCAGAGGTCTGGGTTGTCGGAGACCAAAGTAGACCATTATCTTCGGAATTTCCACTTCGTTGGGAATCGCAAAAGTTCGCCAATCAGCCTTCTTGTCGTCCGCGGGACCTATCAGCGGGATTGGATCCATTTGCATACATTCAAAGAGGATATTTCCTTTTGATTTTGATTGAGAAAGATATACATCTCGGTGAGAGCGGTGCAGTATGTAGTTATGATGGAGGAAGGACCAAGTTCCAGAGCAGTCTCGCCGGTCGATCAGACATATAAAATCGCACCGGCACGAAGAATTTACCCTCCTTCCTATCGCACGGCGCATACTTTGTCCAAAACACTTTTCAACGTCAAAAAGGCAACCAGGTCTCTATAATTTCTTCTCCCCCACCCGTTGAACGAGCTCCGCCGCGCCGACAACCATCCGATGACTCGAACCCGCGAACGATCTCCTTCCCCCAGTCCTGACGACTCGAAAAACCTTATCAAAAGACTAAAAACATCACATACACCGTCCACCAACGGCCATAAGACACCACTTCATCCATCTTCTCATGATGAGACGAGTGAACCCTCGCAATTTGCGAAAGGAGTCTTTGATCACAATAATATCTCAAGATTACACTCAACCTACACCACCAATACGCCTTTCAAGTACAGCATCGTCGAAAAACTGTTCCAGGATGAGCTTCTGACCGGGGTGAAGGATGAATGTGTCGCTGAATTGAGTTTTACGGAAAAGGAGACGGATATCTACAAGGTACTGTCCGTTCGTGCCCCCCACACATCGATTCCCAGGGACTGAAAAAAAAGAAAAACTTAGGTGAACCAAACGGGCGATCTTGCTTCTTTAAACTACCTCACCCCCGAACAAATATCACGGCTGCCCAGCCTCCTTGCCCTCCGCGATGCCCTCTACTCTTCCAAGTTCCGCGACTTCCTTCGTTCCGTCACAGGGTGCGGGCCACTCTCTGGAAAGAAACAAGACATGTCCGTGAACTCTTACACTCGCGGCTGCCATCTCCTCAACCACGACGACGTAATCGGCACACGACGCGTGTCTTATATCCTCTACATGCCCCTTCCACGGTACCAATTATGGCAGAAGGATTGGGGAGGTACGCTGGAGCTGTATCCCACCAAGATGGGCGAAGATGGGCAGCCAGAGCCGGAAGCGATACCCGTTAAGAGCATTCCCCCGAGTTGGAACCAGTTTATCTTTTTTGAGGTGCAGCCAGGGAAAAGCTTTCATTCCGTGGAAGAAGTGGTGGTCGGGGGTGAAGGCGAGGATGGGAGAGAGCGGTTGAGCATTAGTGGGTGGTTCCATGCTGCTCAGGAAGACGAGGAGGGATACATTCCAGAACCACCTGCGGAAACGAAGAGCTCACGCGAGCAGCTGGTGAGCACCGCATTATTCTTTTGGCAAGTATATCATCTTACGCATAGCTAGACATCAACCTCCACACTATTCAACACCTTCCCGAGTATCGATGCCGACACTCTGCCCGACACCAACACCCTCTCTGAAGCACACACCTCTTTCCTATCTGAATTCATCAACCCCGTCTACCTCCAATCCCGAACAATGAAAGCCCTCGGCGAACGGTTCATCGAAGAGTCATCCCTGGAACTACACTCCTTCCTCTCCAACGCCCTCTCCGAATCACTGGACCACCGCCTCCGCGAACGAGACGCCAAAGACGGTCTCGGGCCCTCCCGTAGCCCACTCGTCCCACCACATACAGCCGGTACAGACGGGGCATGGACCATTCACGGGCCACCCCACAAATGGCGCTATTGCGTCCTGCAGCCGCGAGACGAAGCAGCACCAAGAAACGTCGTCTTTCCGCGCGCGGCGACCGTGTCCCCCGACGAGCTTATGCGCAGTTTGCAGGACGAGCTGTTCCCGAGCCCGGCGTTCCGCGCGTGGTTGGCTATTGTGCTGAAGTTGATGCCGTCGAGGTATTCTGTGGAAGCGAGGAGGTTTAGGCCGGGCTTGGATTATACGCTTGCGACGAGCGAGGAGAGAGAGGCGAGGTTGGATGTGGTGCTGGGACTTACGCCTAGTGTCGTTGATGGGGAAGGGAGTGAGCGAAGACCTGTTGCAAGGGGGTGGCAGGACGCAAAGTGGGGTGGTTGGGAGGTATGTTTTATTTCATTCATTCTGATGTTGTGGTGCAAAGCCTAAATAATTCTTTGCAGTGTTATATGGCTCCTCATAATGAGGAAGACGATCCTGCAGTGTACCGATCGAGCGGACAGAAAAAGCCCAAAATGAACGTGGAACCCACACCCGAAGCTTCCTCGTCGACGTCTTTCTCTGTCCGCAAACCCGACTCAGACCACGATATGAACGGTTACGAAAATGGACACGAAAACGGGCACGACGAAAACGAGGCGGGTGAGAGCGGCGAGGAAGTGGTGAACAGCAGTGAGGAAGAGGAAGAAGAGGATGGTACTCTGCTAACCGTCCAACCGGGGTTTAACCGCCTCCTTCTAGTGCTACGCGACGAACGCGTGATGCGATTCGTGAAATACGTGTCGGCTGCCGCGCCTGGTTCGCGGTGGGATGTTTGTGGGGAGTATGAGGTTGGTATGATACAGGAGGAAGAAGGGGTAGGGGATGATAATTAGGGTAGGATGTTGGTGTTCTGCTACTGATACTTACTTACTCTCGACGATGCTTATGCAAATTAGGTTTCTGCAAATGGGTTCTTTGGAAACTAAAAAATGTCATTTCGAGACTGTTATTCATATATCGGCCTTAGCCCAAGTAAGATAAACACTCGTCTTCCTTTCATGCAACAAGAACATCACATCATTATGTTTGTGGTTAATTTTACTATTGTACTGGCCGTATTCGTGATTTTTTGTTTGTTAAGTTCAACGGTCCAAGTCGAGGAGTCGAGTCCAAACGGTGACCGTGTATTTTTTTAAAAAAAAAAAAAACAGGGGACGGCGCCTAGGCGGGGTGGAATTATAATTGGAGGTGTGCGTTATGATACGATTTAAGTATTTATGTTCTGCACAACAACTTCAAGGTGAACGAACATGTGCACTAGTAGTAAGAAAAAAGAGTGTTCATATGGATGTATATATATCTCTCTGTCTGGGAGTCGAACCCAGCTATCGCGCGGAATGAACGATAGCGACACCTGACAGGCGCGTGTACTAACCTATGCACTAACAAAGAGTGATGAGACTTGCCATTTGAAGAGATTCCAAATTCTGTAATCGGCCTTGCTGATTGTTATCAGATAAGAATCAATCAACCTCCCCAACATCATCTACGCGCCACCGCCAACCACCTTCCAGCATTCATAAAGTGCAATCGCAACATCGATCAAATAAAAATTTACTGCATGTAAGAGGAGTACACTTGATACACAAGTCAAAAAAAAAAAAAGATGAGGGGTAGCGCGCCCGGATTGAAGGTGCTCGTTGAGAAGGGAGGGAGTGAGGGTTGTTTGTACATGACTGGATGACGGGTACAGATTTGAAATGGCTGGGCTGGCTGGGTTGACTTGGATGATCAACGGGTGCAATGCGACTGCGGGATGCGTAAGGGTGATGCAAGTAAATAAATCGTGGGTAGTAGTAAAACATGCAAACGAAACGGATTTGGAAGGAGGGAAGGGGCAAGCGGCACACACAAAATGTGAGGTGAGATGGACGGGCTGCTCAAGAGTAAGGTTCACGCCTTCCCCCGCTCCACATCTTCCCCATCGTAAGCCGGCAACAAGCCCTCATCCGGCTTAATATCCAAGCGTATCGTCCCCGTGAGGGTATCCGCGCTGCTTGACCTAGACTGGCGTCTGTGATGGTGGTGGTGCGAGTGAGAGTGGTGGTGATGATGATGATGTCTTGGCCTCTCGCTCCCCTGCCCGTCCTCCGGCTGCTGTTGGACCCACGCCTCCATCGCCTGCATCTGCATCTCTTTAGGTAGGGAGTTGAGGGGCACAGGTGCGTAGACGACTTCTGATGAAGGTTCTTGTGTTTCGTGTTGTTGTGGGAGGAGGAAGATGCGTTGAGTTGTGCTGGCCGGTAGTGATCCGGCGGAACAACTTATGCTGCGGGAAGAGGTTCTGGCGTGGTGATGACGCATGAGGTGGGAGTAGAAATTTGATACTGCTAGTAGGAAGTGCAGCTGGTAGTACAAAATTAGTGGAAGAAAAGGGTAAGAGAGTGTGTGGCGTACTCGGATGACCATGACGATGAACAAAACAGCAAGAGCGGCAAGGACGGCGCGTTCTAGCCACCGTTCACAATTTTCGAGGGTGAGCCCCATCTCAAGCATATCGCGCATGAGCTCGGGGTGGTGCGAGAATTCCTCGCAGACGCCGGCACGTGCAGTGCTGTTGAAGGCACCATACGTCGCTAGCGCAGCGGAGAAGGCGCAAAAGGAAAAGTCTGCGATGGAGTAGTCGCGGTAGAACCGGACATAGGACGGTATACTCTGCATTTGATGGGGTTTCGTTAATTACTGTGGTAAAAGAAGGAAAGAAGGGGAAGAGACCTTGACGATTCCGAGCAGACCAACGATGCAGACTGTTGCTGCGGAGGTGAAGTAGATGAAGAGGAGTGCCCAGAGGATCTTGACACCATCTAATCGCCAATTACCGCCAGAGGACTCCCACTCGGACTCTGGCTCCCATTTGAGCGACCGCCATGCGATGAGAACATGGATGGTTATCGCGAGGTTGGTTACGGCGCCAAAGGAGGTTATGGCGAGTGACGCAGACCTGTTGTACCGACGCCACATGGTGGTAGTGGGAGGAGAGGAAGGAGGAAGAACGGGAGAAAGGGAGGAAGAGAGGAGGGAGACGGGTAAGACACGAGACGAGCGGAAAAAGAGGAGGATGACATACCTCGCTGGGTTAAATCGTATCATATCCGTGATGACTGAGTAGAAAGGAAAAAAAAAGGATTTGTAAAGAGTGGACGGCTAAATGGTAAAGTGCGGACAAGGGCGGACAATAAAACGAGTCTCACCGCTTCTTGATCTAGAACTTCCACATACGCTTCTTTCCCACGGTCCAGGCCGTGCAAAAGTCGAAGCAGTATGGAGGAGAACACAGACAGTAGCAATAGAAAAACCCATAAACATAATTCCCCAAGCACACATGCCTCACAAAGATACTCCCAACCCATCCCAACCCAGTACACCAAACCCACCCAACCGGAGGGAGGCGCGACGCGCCCCCAACGGACAGCTCGACAAACCCGACCACAGACCCCATCCGGCACGACCGCCTCCTTCCTGGAGAACGCGGTCGGAAGGGTAGGTAGAATGGCGCAATCAGTCACCCACACGTCCCCGGCGAAAATCAAGAGCGTACTAATAGGAAACAAGAAAAGGGCGCTGGACGCAGAACGCGCGACCACCCCAACCCCGCAGTCCTACAACGACGTAGACATGACCATGGGAGACCAGAACGACCCAAACCGGCGCGTCCCATGGGACGAAGACATCGAGTCATCCGGAGACGAAAATGACCAAAGGGGAATCGACCAAGAATCCATACAGGCCGACAGATTCAGCCACCTCGCAGATCGCTCGATGAGCAGGGACGAGAAGTTAGATCACCTATACAACTCCCTCTTAGACGCCGGGTTCTTCGTACAGGCATTGGAGAGTGGGGGAGAAATGGATATTGCAAGGACTGACCAAAAAATCACAGGATGCATGACGGGCCTATCAAACGCGCTCCTCAACCAGCCATACAGAGTCATCATGGAACAGCAAGCAGGCCTCGCGAAGGCAATCCACGAGATCAGCAAGAACATGACGACGACCATGGAGAACATGGCGACGATCATGGAGAATGTTCAGAACAACGGAGAAAAGATTGAACACATGAAGAATGAGACAGCCAACAGCCTAACAGCAACCTCAGACCGGCTCAAAGCCTTGGAATCCCTGGCCACCGACACTCAGTCACGAATCGCAAACCTGGAAAACCGAGGTGCTGGACCCCAAACACGAAACACGGAACCCACCTCAAACCCAAGCCACACAACAAGCCACGCCACTGGCCCGACGTTCAAACCCAAAGGGAAAACTGAGGGAAACCCGGGACCAACCAAGAAGAGCACCAACCCAGCATCGGCCCATCACCCAAGCCGAGCGGTCATCCGTTTCCTGCCTGACGGGATTAGGGACGAAGACCGCCTAGACCCAATGGTAATAGTCAATACAATCAACAACGCCCTCGCCAACGCACCCTCCCTCAAGGCCAAGCACATCAGAGCTGTAACTGCAACCTACAATAACCAAGGTAACCTCATCGTCTCAACGCGTGCTGACCAACGCGCCGCAGATCTGCTCCAATACGCAGAGCTCTTCATTCCGCTAATCGACCAAGGATACAACACAAGTGTCATAGAAGACAAAAAATGGTTTAAGATTCAAATCGACGGCGTCAACACCCACACCATGACCAGTCTTGGGCCCAGGTCCATCCTCACCGCGGAAACAGTACACGAAGAACTCCTGGCATGCAACCTCGCCTACGCCCAAGCCAGTGACTCTATAGTTGCGCCCCCGCGGTGGATGCGAACCCAAGAAGAACTAGAAGGCACACTGAGGTCGTCCCTCGTGTTTGCAGTCGACGACGAAGAGGTCGCCAAAAAACTGTTACAAGAGAACTCCCTGGCCGCGTTCGCACGCCACTGCCCACTGAGAGCGTACCAGGACAGACCACCGGTAAAACAGTGTAAAAACTGCTGGGGGTGGGACCACAGGGCAGATAAGTGCCCAGAACCAACCAAATGCAGGCTATGCGCAGGCGACCACAGGGAAGAAGATCACACCAACGAGCCAACGTGCCGCAAATGCAACGCACTAGAGGAAAGCGACGGCATGGCCATCGACAGGAAGCTGTGCACTCACCACCTGCACTGTGCAAACTGCTCAACGGCAAGCCACGTCACCGAAAAGGATCACCCAGCAGACGCCAGAAGATGCCCCATCCGGCTCGAAAAGTACGGCACCGCTCGAACTAACGAACGCAGGGCTCTCAAGACGGACAATCCGTGGAAGGTAATCACCAGCAAAAAGCCCCGTAAACCCAGGGCGCCAAAGAGTACAACACTAACATCACAGGGAATCCCGCCAGAACAGCTAGTCTGCCAGAACCAATTCAGCATCTTTGACGACCCATACCCAGCTGCCCACATGGAAGAAGTCACAATTCCCCAATGACCAACACAAACCAAGATGAAACAACCACACGACCGATTCGCATAGCGCAACTGAACGCTCAGAAAAAGAAGAATGCAGTAATTCAACTCCTAAACCACCACGCTCATGACTTCGACATTATCATTCTACAAGAACCTGCATGGGGGTTCATAGGCAACGACGAAGGAAAAGAAGTACATGGGCCAGTTGCACTACAGGGGTGGAATCCAATTGCGCCAAACACCACCAGCGACACCAACCCCAAAAGACCCCGGACACTGACATACTTCCGCACTAGACAAGACTTTTCAATAACACTTCGCACCGATATCATAGAAGATAGGGACATCCAAGTCCTGGACATCGCCCAGCAAGGACAACCCACCACAACACTCATCAACGTGTACAATGACCCCAGGCTAGCTCAAGACAGCGCCCTCAACCGCATACGTCACGCCAACTTACCCAGAGACCACCCAGTCATCATCACAGGCGACTTCAACCTCCACCACGACCTGTGGGCACGTGGACCAGTAGGAAATGACGACGCAAGGACAGCTGGGGCAATAGTGGACTGGTTGTCGGAAGAAGGGTACACCATTTTAAACAAGAAGGGTGAGATCACGCACCCCCCACGTAATGCACGCGAGAGGGCATCTGTTATTGACCTCACTTTTGTAAACGGCCAAGCAGTTCGCGCAGGAACAGTCCAGGAATGGGCCATAGACCCAGGCCTGGCACATGATGCGGACCACTTCGGGATAAAGT